TTTATGGTGGATTCTAGTGCCACCCATTCAATAATCAAAGAGAGTCATTTTTCCACTTCAATACAGCTGAGTGGACATTATACTTTTTTCAATTTTGGCATCAGTTACCACAGTCAAAGAAAGCTTTTCATCCCCTCTCCCCTGTGCCACACAGGGAGGACACAAATTTGAACATGCCTTTTTAATGTCCAAATTGTGCCCAACTAATTTGTTGGGTAGAGACCTGATGTGCAAATTATATATAAATATCTCATCTTCACCATCTGGCCTGAAAATTTCCTTAAACCCACAGTCTGAGGACAGAGATGACCTTGATTTTACAGGGGTCTCGTTCTGTCCCACAGCACCTACATATGTTTATGAGTGGTGACTGGGAAACAGCCCCATTCAATAGATGTTTTGGAAAATGCAAAACAGTGTGTAGAGCCATTTCCTGATTTCATGCCTCCTACAGATTTGCATGGTACTGCTCATGCATGTATCTGAAAGTCCTACATGTATGAACATTAGTGAATGAAGACCCATAGGGTTTTGTTTTATGGTCTCCATCTGCACGTGTTCAAAGAAAATATGCAGACTATTTTTCACAGTGCCAGGACCGTGGCTCCGTTATCTGAAAAGCACACACAAATACCTAACACATTCCCTGTTCTGCCCCGCCAGACAGTTCCAACACACATAATGAAATAATCCCACCAGACTTGTGGTCAGCGTCCAAGTATGATGTTGGATTTATAACAGACTGTGACCCAGTGATCATCACAGCGAAGTCAAACTTTAGGCCTTGTCAGAAACAGTATCCTCTGAGATCAGAGGCTGTTAAAGTTGTGCAACCTCTGATCCACTCGCTGTTGGACTCTGGGGTTATTGTAGCATGTCTTGACTCCCCTGTTTGAACAACCCTCTTCCCAGTAAAAAGGTCAGGGATGTGGATCAGTAAGTGGAGTAGAGATTGGTGCAGGATCTTCAGGTTGTGAACAGGGCTGTGATACCCTGCGCACCTGCTATTCCCAATCCCAACACTATCGTAAATCAGATCCCACCTACAGTCACATATTTCTCTGTGGTTGACTTGTCTAATGCATTTTTCTCTGTACCTGTGCATAAAGACAGCCAGTTTTGGTTTGCATTTGAGTATGACGGCAAACCTTACACATTCACAAAAATGTGTCAGGGGTATTGTGAAAAGCCCAACAATATATAACGTTGCACTTAAAGCGTCACTTGGCGACCTTGTTTTAACTCCTGGATCTGTTCTATTGCAATATGTAGACAACCTTCTCTTGTGCTCTCCAGACCAGAACCAGTGTACAGATGATACAGTGAAGTTGCTTAACCACCTACATTCTAAAGGACACAAAGCCAGCCTCTCTACTAACTTCAGTTTGTCCAGCAAACTTTCACCTTATTGGGATATGTGCTGTCTCAGGGCTCTCACTCTGTCTGATAAGAGGGTAAAGGCTGTACAGCACATTCCTTGTCCCATTACAAAGAGACACTTAATGTAATTTTGCAGTGTGGCCTCCTACTGCAGAAATTTTATTCCAAATTATGCAACAATTGAGGAACCACTGTCCTTCCTCATCTATGGAAAGGGTTTAGCTGCCCATGATAAAACTGATTGGACACCTGAGGCTGACAAAAGTTTCCTTGAACTCAAATCTGCTTTATCACAAGCATCTGCATTAGCTTTGCCTGATCCAGAAAAAACATTTGTACAAATTGAATATGAAAAATGAGATTATATGTCTCCTGTTTTGTTGCAGGCTCATGGCGATCGTTTGCCTCCCGTCGCTTACTACTCATCCAAACTTGATTCTGTAGCTGCAGGACTTTTTGGCTGCCTCTGTACTGTCACTGCTGCTGAAAAGACTGTGTTGGCTTCCAGAGATATCATGGGGTATGCTCCTTTAACTGTTCACGTACCTCACGTTGTCTTGATAATTTTTCTCGCAGAAGGCCATTGCCAGACCCCGGCCTCGCATAATCATGAAGGTCGAACTCTGATCCTGGCAGACAGGTGGATCGGGACTAGTCTGGGACGGATGATGGAAGCAATTTTTAAATAAACATTTTTTATACATAAAATGTTTTTGAAAACCGCTGAAGTGATTAAAAAATGCTTTTTTAAATAAAATGTTAAAGAACAATATAATTATACAATGGTACAAAAGGTAAAAAAGTCTAAAAAGATACAAAGCAATCTATTTACAGGTTATATAGATAAATTCACATTAAGTATTTCTAGAACTGAGTTGGTTTTCATTGCCTTTTGTTTTCAAGTCCTTTAATAGTGGTGCTCTATGTACTGTCACCTCTGCTTTTTATTTTATACACAAACTTGTGTCAGAGCAAACATGACAGCAGGTTCATTATAAAATATGCAGATGATTCCGTTATTGTCAGTCTGCTTAAAAGAAGTTAAAGTAGCCAAGGCAGGTGACTGATGATTTTGTTCAATGGTGCTAGGACTCTTTCCTCAAACTAAACATTGATAAGACAAAAGATATGATCATTGATTTTAAGAGGAAAAATCACAAGCACGAAGTCACTTTGATCAAATGCCAAGCCATTGAGAGAGTGCAGTCTTACAAATATCTTGGGACAGTCAGAGATGATGAATTAAACTTTGAAATCAATTTTGACAAAGCGTGTAAGAAGGCCCACCAGCACCTGTTTTGTCTAAGGAAACTCTGCCAATTTAATATTGACCGAACCATGATGACCACGTTTGATTGTGCCTTTATTGAATCAGTTTTATCCTTCTCCTTGGTGTCATGGTTTGGTCAAGCAACACTGAAAGAAAAGAACTCCCTGCAGCAGGTTGTAAAGCTGTCGTCTAAACTGACCGGAGGAATCCAAACATCAGTTACATCCCTGTACATTAGCCAGGTACAGCGGATAGCTTCTTCTGTTTTAAAATGTGTTTTTTCACCATCTTCACAGGGAGTTTCAGCATCTTCCCTCCGGTCAGAGGTTTTTAATACTTAAATGTAGGACAAGACCTTTTAAAAATAGCTTTGTTCCTACTGCTCTTATTTAAATGAACAAACTGAACTGACACAGGTGTTCTCAGTGTTTTAACAGATTTTTATCTAATGATAAATTAATATTTTTAAATATTTTTATACTAGTTGGATTTTAAATTTTTTTATCTCCTCTTTTATGTCTCCTTTGTTTTGAATATGACCTGTGGAATCTTGAGCACTATTATCTGTAAATGGTTTATTTGAAGTATTCTTACTTTTTACATTGTATGTGTGCATGGATGTATGCTTCATGCTTTGTCCTACCAAAAACCAAATCTACCCTTGGGCATAAATAAAGTAACCTAACTTAACCTTGTAATCCGTTTCTGTGGATCCTGCAATCTGTTTGTGGATCCAGTAATCTGTTTCTGTGGCTCTTGAAATCTGTTTCTGTGGCACTTGTAATCCATTTATGTGATCATGTAATCTGTTTCTGTGGCTCTTGAAATTTGTTTCTGTGGATCTTGAAATCCGTTTCTGTGGATCCTGTAATCTGTTTCTGTGCATCCCATAATCTGTTTCAGTGGAGCCCATAATTAGTTTCTGTGGATCCTGTAATCTGTTTCTGTGGATCTTGAAATCTGTGTCTGTGGATCTTGAAATCTGTTTCTGTGGATCCTGTAATCTGTTTCTGTGGATCCCATAATTTGTTTATGTGGATCCTGTCATCTGTGTCTGTGGATCTTGAAATCTGTGTCTGTGCATCTTGAAATGTATTTCTGTGGATCCCGTAATCTGTTTCTGTGGATCCTGTAATCTGTTTCTGTGGATCACATAATTTGTTTCTGTGTATCCTGCAATATGTTTCTGTGGATCTTGAAATCTGTTTCTGTGGATCCCGTAATTTGTTTCTGTGGATCCCGTAATCTGTTTCTGTGGATCCCGTAATCTGTTTCTATATGACACAATACACAACTTCTACCTGAGGGGAGCAGAGCAAACCAATTTACTCAATTACTTCAGTAAAAACAGATTAACTTGATTACTTCAGATTTGCTTGATTACTTCAGGAAAGCTTTGAGACAGGACCAGCATGTTCTGAAGTCCAAGCAGTCTGAAGATTGGCTGTAATAATGAACGTTTCTTTGACCTCTCTAACACCGTGAATCTTCACAATCTGATCACTTTTTCCCCACAAGACTTCCCAAAGCAGAACAGATGAACGAAACAGAGTCACAGCAGCTTCCATGTGCTTCATGGAAACACCAAAACAATATGAAAAAAGCAAAAAGTTTCAGGATTCTGCTTTAGTTTCTCCATTCAAACCCAAGTCCACACATAAAACATGACGGTCACACACATGCAGACACAGAACTGCAGAGAACAAAATATACATTTGGAATGAGCACGGCAGCTCAGAGAGTCAAGAGCAAACATCCACCAACAAACACAAAGTCACGAGTTGGACTGGATGGCAGCCCAATAAAAACAATGGTTAGTTCAGAGGTGTTCAAACCTTCAACTTGACAGAAACGGTCAGAGGAAAACAACCAGAATGGAAGAAAGAGAGTCCAGCAAATGAAACAAGACAGCGTGGATGCACAATGTCCTCTGGTAGGCAGAGAAAAGAGGAGGAGGAGGAGGGAATGTCTGGGAGTGTGAGATGAATAGAAGAAGGATAAGTGAGAAGCTTCGCTGCATCAGACTGACCAGCTCCTCCAGCCTGAATACTGCTGAGGAACAGGTCCACGAGTCCAAACAAAACACTCCAGGCACACGTTCACCTCTTCAGACCGTTACATTGCATCTGACACTCAGCATCTTTCACCTCCTGACAGGAGCACACAACGCCACTGTGTCATCTGTCACCAGAACTGACCCACAACCTGGATCAACGTTCTGACATGGCACCACAGCTGTTTTCAAAATAATCATGTAGCACATCCAGACAGAAGAGGAGGATCAGAGAGGTGGGACAAAGTTCAGGTGTACTTTTTGTATTGAACGCTTTTTGAATTCAGGTGTACTTACACTCGGCCCAGTTTGGGGTTGGACTGGAAGAGAAGCTCCGGGAGAATCTGGAGTTTGTTTCTGTTCAGACGACTGCGTGGAGACAGAACAAAAGGATGAAGCATACGTGAATTTGTGTTGCCTGAATGATCATCTAGAAAGGCAGTAGGTCACAACTCCAGAGAAAATCTCTGGTTTGGCCCTGCAGGTTATCACAATCCAGTGTGGGCCGACACTGTGTCCATCACAGCTGATCAGTCTCCGAGCACCCTGACCCTTATACTGACCGCGATCCTGACCCTGATCCTGACCATAATCCTGACCTGACCTTGATCCTCATATGACCCTGACCCTAATCCTGATACCTGAATGTATCCAGAAGCTGAGGGCAAACACTTATGCCATGTTTTTGTCCTTCAATACATAAAAATAAATACAAAATGTAAAAAAAATCTATTTTTTACCTGTTTCAAATGTCTGCAAGTCTCAGCAAGTTTCATAAAATATTTAAAAGACAAAACATGAAAGACTTTTGATGGTATACTAAGGCCAAGTGTATCAAATCATAAAATGTGCTGGTTTATCTTGAGTATCATTTTTATTTGATATGACAGGAATGCATAAAATGTTAGAAGTTTGACAGAGATTTATTTCTCAGTTTATATTTTTCATTTAAAACCTGATAAATGGATTAAATGGACTGTACTTTTATAGCACATTTCTATCTTCTAAAAAAGTTAAATCTGGTCCTCTGGACATTCAAAAAACTAAACAAAGCAAAACAACAAAAAAATGTAGAAACGTTTCGTCTCTCATCCGAGAGACTTCCTCAGTCTGAGGTGCTGTATTCAGCTCAGTCTCTTAAATAGCACCTTCTCAGAGTGGATCAACCAGTTTGCTGCTGACAACCAAAACCAGCTGATCACATGCTCAAGAAGGACCATCAGCCTAACAATGGATCTCCTGATGCATGCTCAATAATCCAAACTAACAATGGATCATTAGCACACTGATGGCGGTTTACTGTTCACAGGGGTTGAGTGATACTAGCAATCACAGCATTGTAAGAGGGGGACAGTTGAACACGGAGGCCTCTACCCCTGTTTAACGATGGACGATTTCTTTTCACAAAGATGGCCTCCTTTACTCCTCTCTCAAACCATCATTCCTCTCTATCCAGGATGTGAACATCTTCATCCCTGAAAGAGTGACCGCTGGCCTGGAGATGAGTGTAGACCGCAGAATCCTGGCCTGATGATGTTGATCTTCTTGACCAGTGGCTGTTTAGTTTCCCCGATGTAAGACTGATCACAGCCCTCCTGACACTGAACAGCATACACAACATTGCTCTGTTTGTGCCGGGGGACTGGATCTTTGGGATGAACCAGTCTTTGCCGTAATGTATTTTGGGGTTTAAAAGCCACTGGGACGTTGTGTTTAGAAAATAAACGTCTCAGTTTCTCTGATACTCCCTCAACATCTGGAATGACCACTGGTCTGGGTCTGGGTTCCTCCTTTTCACCTGATGGCTGACTGGAGTCCTGTTTGGGTTTCTTCTCTGCTTTCAGGAAGGCCCAGTTAGGATATCCACATTGCTCTAGAGCCTGTCTTGTGTGGGATTTCTCCTTCTGCCTGGCTCC